AAGTATTCGAAATGATGAAGGTCTTAAAGATTTTATTGCAGAATTTGATCCATCATACTGATTTCTGAGTGAAAAATATTGCCGACAGTTACTTTCTGAAGTATATGAGTATACTAAACTATCTCTATTAAATATTTTTGAAAAAAATATTATATCATACTCTTTAACCTGTGATTTATGAACTGGGCGTAATAGATTAGGATATCTGGGTATTACTTGTTCTTATATTGATAATAGTTTTCAGTTACAAGAAAACATACTTTCTATTAGATATTTTCCTTATCTGCATACTGGCAAAATTATCTCTAAAACTTTAAATTCAATTATTAATGAATGGAATCTTGATAATAAAGTATTTACAATTATTACTGATAATGGTAGTAATATAGTTAAAGCATTAAATTTAATGCCTAATATTGTTCGCATATCATGTACAGCTCATACTCTTTAATTAGTTATTGGTAAAGGTCTTTTAGAAGTAGAAAATTTAGTTATACAGGCTAAAAGACTTATGTTATATTTTACTACTCCTAAACAAACACAACGACTTTTAGAAACTCAAAAAAAGTTTAATTGTAATGAAGATATCGTAAGTATAATATTTATTTATATACATAATAACAATAATAATAAATTATTAAATTTATTAATATTTGTAATAAAAATTTTTTAAATTTAATTAAAACCTTTCTCAAAATGATCATGAATTACGTATAATTGCTGATACACCAACAAGATAGAATTTATCTTTTCTTGCCTGGCAATGGCTAATTAAAATTTAAAATATAATTAATCTTATCATTACAACACTTTCTTTAGATGAAGACTATCAAATACGTAAAGAAGATGCGAAATTAAAAAAGATTAATCTTACTGATATTGAATGGGAAGCTATAAAAAACCTTGTTACAATACTTGAACCATTTGCAGAGGCAACAGAATTTTTAGGAGGTAGTAAATATACAACAATAAGCTTTATGTATAGTGCGATCAATACGATTATGAATAATCTTATACTTACTGATGATATTGAGCTACGACAAGTAGACTATAAAGATAACGAAGATGTTTTTAATGATACTATTTTAAATGAGGATCAAGCAAATAATATCAAGTCAGTTAACTTTCAACAATTTAATGTTCCTCAAAATTGTGTAAATTTTAAAGAAAGAGTAAAAACGGCTTTATATAATACTATGAATTATTATTGGCAAATGCCATCAGAAGAAAGAATGTTAGCTGCATTACTTGACCCTCGATGTAAAATATTAAATTTTACTTCAGAATCTTTAAAAGCTAGAACTTATGATTCATTGCGTGAGGTATATAAGCAATATCAAAATTAAACTAATATACTACCTATTAAACAGCTATTACAATTTACAAGCAAACTATTAGCCTCTATATATCGATCAAGTAATATTCAAATAGACGAAATCTCTGACTATATTGGAATGCCAGAAATTTCTTATGATCAATGTCCATTTGAATGGTGGAAAAGTAACCAAAATCAGTTTCCAGTTTTAGCTTATTTGGCATGTAAATATCTAGCTATTTTGGCTACTTCAACCCCTAGTGAGAGGTTATTTAGTGATGCTGGAAATGTAATATCTATTAAAAGAACAAGTCTTTTACCTATTATATTTGAGCACTTAATTTTTTTAAAAAAAAATCGGTATAGCGTTGATAGTATTTTTCCAAATATGAAGAATAAGAAGTAAATTTTTAATTATATAAAAATAGTGATATATATATATTTTTTTTTTTTGGTGTTAAGGTGGCCTCTTGGCCGGCTCCTTTTATTCGGTTATAGTTAACTTTTA